CAAATCATTGAAAAGCTCATTTTCAACCTATGGTGATGGCAGCCATTTTGGATGTAGGGCTCTAAAGAATGTTGCCCGCATTTTTGCGAGGGGCATGGGGGCTCATTTTTTTTTAAAAACCCTTCATAGATGACAAATCCACTGAGAAACTAACCTCCGCTCTCCACGGTCCCGTGACCGTATAACCAATTAGTTAGGTCATCTCCAGCAATTCCGTAATTGCTGGAGATGACCCAACTAATTGGTTATGGCCATGATTTTATGATTATTGAAATGTATACAGTTCTGTTTCATATAGGTCAGGGGTGCCCAACCAGTCGATCGCGATCGACCGGAGATTCCCAATCGATCGCGATCGACCGGAGATTCCCAATCGATCGCGAGATGTGTCTAAAAATAGAACAGCAATATTCTGTTTTATCGTTAATGTCCTATATAACATAATCTTCCTGTGCCAGAATAATGCACTTGAACGCATCAAAGCTCTGTGATTGGCCTGACCCCATGTGTCGGGGCGTGGCTGGTGGGCAGTGGGCACTATTTCGCTGACGTTGTCCGTGTCAACAGGAGTGACAGTCCGCAATTATGGCAGAAGCAAAAAAGCCCAAAATATATCATTTTCACTCCGAGTGGGAGGATGATTATTTTTGTATCTATTCCAATTCAAAGTCCATCTGTCTCATCTGCAATGCGAGCGTGGCTTTATCGAAGAAGGGTAATTTAGGAGCGGCATTTCAAAACAGTGCACAAACGCTACGAGACGGAATTCCCTCCTGATTCTGCCCTACGCTCCCAAAAGGGGAGGGGCCTGAAAGGACAGCTAAATGCACAGCAGTCCATTTTCACCAGCCCCAACAACAAGAGCAAGGCTGCTACCATAGGCATAGCATCTTAACGTGTCAGTCACGTTTGATATAATAATAAAAACTCAAGTTAGATACCGTTATTAATCATCTGTACGTTTTAGTTCGTTTGAACTTATTCATTATAATTATTGTACAAAATGGTATAAGAATGCAAACATTAAGATCTGGTCAAATTGATTATAGTCTATTATCAATTCAGGTTAAGAAACTAGTGTTGCTTGCATCCTATTTTAAAGGCATTTATTTTTATACTCTACTAAAATTCAACAAAAAAAGGGTTTGATTCTATTAATGTTGTCTTTTTTATTGCATGTTGGCAGCAGATTCCTGTGTAGCTTCAGATCTGACTTGTCTTATTAGTAAGCCTAATTTATACTTTTGTAGCAACACTATTTTTATATAATGGCAAAGAAAGGGTTCAGAGTCTTTTCTTTTTTCCCTGTGTCATCTGTGGCAGCACTGTTCAATGTTTCTTGAAAACATTACCCACTGTAGTATGTGACGTGTGAATAAACTCCAACTCTGTATCAACAACACTGTTGTGTAACTTCAGTTAAATACTTGTATGTGTGTAGACTAGAAAGAGGTAAGATAAAGGATCTGCAGTATTTTATGAAGTATTAATCGTACAAAGGTCAGTTTAATACAAGTAGAAGTGTGTATTTACCTGGTAGTAGGCTGTCAGTAATGGCTACGCTCTCTATTTGGACTGGTAGATCTCGGCAGACTGGCAACTTTAAAAGTAGCTCTCGGTTCAAAAAAGGTTGGGCACCCCTGATATAGGTGTTCCCATAGATCTAGTCTCGTTATTTTCCCCTCAAAATGCACCAGATTGATGCATTTAACTCCAAAATAAAAATACAATGTTTACCGGGGGAGCATGCCCCCGGACCCCCCTAGAGGATTGGAGGTCCACCCCCACTTAAAATCACATGGATAGGTTCCTAAATACATTTACCATTTGTTTAAAATAGTAACCCATGTCCATATGTTTATTTGTGGGTAGTAGATTTAAACTATAGGGCTATCACTATGAGCCCTGCCTGTACCTGTTCGCTCTGCCATCGCGTGAAGGGTCTAACAAGTGACCAACAGAAAGGTTCATGTTAATGTTAATGTTGTTGCACATCACAAAGGCACGTCACCTCAACCCCCACCCACCCCGCTACCACCACCCCCCCAAGTATATTTCAGATCTGTGGGAAACACTGCTTCTTCATTCTGATTCTTTCCATCTTGCAGAATCACTCAAATGTATTATATGCTAGTAATGGTGATTTTAAATGGGTTATCTTTTCTAACAATATTACATAGCTCACCACATACTGTATATTGATGTTTTACAATCTTTAGTTATTTAGTGGTTTGTCTTTTTATCTATACAATGGCGTTTAGCTGGCCTACACTGTAAACAATTTTTTAAAAAAATGTTATTTTTACGGTAAAAAACTGGCAGCTGTGGTTGCCAGAACTTTACCGTAAAAAATACGGTAGAACTTTATGTACTATTACGGTAAAAGGATATCAGTACTGCTGACTTTACGGTTAATGTTTGAGTTTTATTCCATATTTTACCATATAAATACAGGTTTTTACCACTGAAAGAAACACTTTTTTGCCATAAAATGAACATAAAAATACTGTATGAACACCGTCTAAATAAAGTTTTTGCCATTAAATTAGACTGTTTCACTGTGCAGTTAACAGTCTGTAATATAAATTCCCGTAATATGCCCTACAAATAAAGGTTGTGCCATGAAAAATGACAGTGGTTCCCTGTACAATTAACAGTCTGTAATAAAAAAATACTACTTTTCCCCATATAAATTCCCTTAAAATGTCGTACAAGGAAATGCTGTGCTGTGAAATTTGACAGTGCTTTACTGTAAAATAATCAGTTTGCAAAATACAATACTACTTTTTCCTATATAAATTCCCTTACAAAAGCAGTACAAAAAAAGGTTTTGCCATGAAATATGGTTTTATTGTGAAATTAACAGTATAATGTAATGATTTCACTTCTAATACGTAAAATCCTATCTTGGTCCATAGTCAGACAGAAGTCCAACGTTTTTGATAGTCCATTAAAAAGATCAGCAAGCAGTCAAGGGGTTTCCAATGTGTTGCCCTCCTGTAGCTGTTGAGGCAAGGGAGCAGCATGTGGACATCGAGGGTCCCACCAGGGTGGGTGGAATGGATCGGGGACCTAACACCAGCATCAGGGAGAGAGCAGAGAGAAAAATCACAGGATCAAAAGTCGTTTCATTTACACTTAAGTAGTGGTGGGATATATTATATTGCAAAACCTTTAGATCACAATATTTTTATAATTTTGGACTGTAACAATATACAGCACATCTTAGTATACGAGTTTTCTTGTAATTCAATTTGAAATGGTTTATAAATGAAGGGACTCTCAATAACCTATTTACATTTTCACTATAGTAAGTCCTGTCATGGGTTATATGATTACATGATGTATTGATATAGACTCTGCTAGCAGTTGGAGTAATGTCACTTTGCTGACGGTAACATCCCCCCAAACACTCAGTATTAGTTCATCTCTACTGGTAGACACATTTCTAAAGAGCACAGTATATACCACTATACTAAAGTCAATATTTACTGAAAGCGTGCATGATAGAAAACCTGTTTGTGTGGAATCACTCACCATAAATGTCCTGACTGAATGTAGAAACAGGTCCACATTGAAGGATCAGGGAGGAGAACTTCCAGCAGCAGGAGAACGCTGAGTGGAACTTGGTAGTTTGACTGGGACCAGCCCTAATGATGGTGCAGCCCTATCAATGCCCTAACAAGTGAGAAAAGAAAGTCAAAGATTAAATTGTAATATAAACAAAAACAATAATTGACTCTCTCTAGACTTGTATCTCTTACCTGGAAAGGTAATAATGTCAAGAAGAATCCAGTTGAGGATCACTGAACACGTTTGGCTTGGCCTATTGGAAGGGAAACAATACTTTAGACGCAGAATACAAATCTGATGTATATATTTTAAATATGCAGCTAACTTACCAGCTCAGTTCTTTAATGATGCCATCAGAGGAAACATAACTGGCCTGACTTGAGTATTTTCATAATCATTTATTCTAAAACAAATGATAGACTGAACCACCTACACTGTTCAATATTGTAATAGTACAAATAACCAACCCATACATATGTTATACTCTGCAAAGTTACCAAATGCACATATGCTGTTCATACTCTACAGACAACCCTACATTCACACTCTTTTGTATATTGTAACTCTCTACCATCCTTCACTATACATATTGTATTGTATTATTACCTACACTCCTGCATTTATCTATATTTGCACTTCTGGTTACATGCTACTGCATTTCATCGGATTTGTACCTGTACTGTACTCTGCAATGACAATGAAAGTGAATCTAATATATTCTAAACTTAACAACTTTTCTGAGCGCAAATTTATGTTTTTAAAAATTGCTCATTGTACCTAGCAGCCACACAAAAAATGTCACATCTCACATTTTAAAATAAAGAAAAGCTTTATTTCATTGCTGTTAAGCAAAGGTTTTGGATATTTGCTTTTCACAAAAACGACTACCTCGATGAGTAAGAGTTCCAAATTCCTAGAACTATCAAGTTCGCCTGAACTTCTTTGCAGCACAAATCTATTGACATCACTCAGTAAAGCTGAACATGTACTCTGGCTTTACAAACTATACCAGACACTTTTCCAAGGAAAAGTTTACATTGGCTTTCAGAACTAGCAATTCCATACACATTTTGGAAAAAATTGGAACACATTGTTCCAAAGCACCCAACTCTAAAGGGTTAGGGTTAGTAGGATATGTCTATATCCACTCATGGTCTGCAAGGTCTGCAATCAGAGTGAGGACTCTGGGATTGACTGGGAGTACTTTCTTGTTTTTCTTCCACTCGACTTTGGTTCCTCTCTCAGGATTTATTGAGAAGAAACACCTTCATGAAAAATACATATATTAATTCACAAAAAACAATTGATGGCTGAAAAAGAAACTTGTATTGTTAAATACTATAACAACAAAGAAATTGTACCTTTGGAGGAACTCAAGTGTTGAACGTAGTTCCACTGGGTAGTGAATGTTGAAACAGTAGTAACACCCGAACATCAGGCAGACGTGAAGGAAGTGATGTGGTCGTTGACAACCTCTTGGTCGATGCTCAACATAAACATCCCAGCAGCAAAGCAGGAGGACCCTGAAAAATGTAAGAATACAAAAAACAAAACAAACAAATAAACTTCCATAACAAAGGCATCAATGTCAGCCATTGACTAAACATACAATGGTGCTTATTACATTCAAGGGCCATCAAAAAAAAAAAAAAAAGATAACGGAGTTGGTTAAAACCATACTGCTGCCTTGAATTCTGCTATTGGCTGACCTTGGTATCAGTTAAAGTAATGGTCAGTATCGTTATATGGGCTGCAACATAACCTGGAACTAAGTAAGCCAGTAGTACAATTGCATTTCAGTACACTAGTAGATTCATTCTAGAGGGTTTGGTTGCACTTTCAGTGTTTGTTTACTTACCACACACAATGATGCAGGGTGTTGCCGGCAACTTCTCCATCTGAACCTCTTGGGCCAGGCATGTGTCCTCGACGAAATGGAACAGATTCTCCTTTTGCTCACCAAAAAGAGCCAGTAAGAGACATACCATCTGTATGATGTCTTCTGAACAACCATCCGACTGACCTCTCTCAGTCTGAAACTTGATCAGAGCATCCAGGACTTGCTTGTTTTTTGGTGCAGCAACACGTTTGAGGAAGTCTAAGAGGCGTCTACCCTTTTTGTCCACATTGGCAAGGAAGGACTCCATCAGACTCACACCAGTAAGTTCTTGGAAGTGTGCTGCCATACCAACTTCCCTGAACAAAAAGGGCCACTCTTGGCCAAGTGTCTTGATGCGTGTCCCCTTGTTGATGTACACACGCTGCGTGTAATAGGTGGACTGTACTAATGTTCTCACATCATCTGTATTGTAGTTTATCTCTTCAAACATATTCTTCATCTTTTCTTTTTTTTCTTGCTGACTCTCCACAGTCTCGGAGAGTGGCAAATGTTTTGGCTCCCAGTTGACGCAGCCATATGTGTCTTGAACACCGGCTCTTTTTTTTGCTGGAACTTCCTCTGTGTCATCATCATCTGATGTGGCCTTGCGTTTCATTATTTTTGGTGTGTTGGGTCGTTTAACATTTTCAATTCGCGCTTGGAGTTGCTTTACCAGTGAATGGTATCCAGGTCCAACAACATCACCCTCGATGACATCCAGTAAGGATTTTGGATACTTGGCCACCATTCTTTTGCCTATCTCTGTAGTGTCGCGTTTGGCTGGATTATTAGACTCCTTCATAATCTCCTCGACCACAATCCTTACCATCTCTCGGCGTAGTCGCGAACTCGGTCTTCTCTGCCTTTCCAAACTCTGCAGTAACTCTTCAGGGAGCTTCTGCCATGGTATTTTAAAATTGTCTACCCAGTTTGGCACAAAAGCGGAACAGGCTCCCGGTGACGAGATGCTTGTGGATGATGCTGGTGAGTTAAAGGACGGAGTGGAACAGAAGGACACCGGAGAGGAAACTGTATTCATTTCAATACACTTACTGTTCTGGGCCCAGGCAGCAACAAGTCTTCTGGCTTGGATTGGCTTCAACACCAGCAGCAGGTCTGCTTCTGTAACGTACTGCAGATCATCTGTGGTCCCTGCACCGAGTGCCTCCAAAGTATCTACTACTGAACTGAGAACTGCTATAGGAAGATCTGGAAAAACTGCAGTAATGGCACTGCTTATCTTCTGTGTCTCAGCCATATCTATCAGATACATAAAAACAAAAAATAAGAACATTCTGGAAAACATGTAACATCTGACATCTAAGCATCTACTCTGACATTACAGAGTGCTTCAATGGGACTATCTGGTATCCATTTTTCATGTAAGATGATAATGGCCACATGTCGATCAGTTCATTAATGTGTAGGCATTGCAATCTTCCACTTTCGTTTTTCACTGAGTACATGTGGTAGTGTGGAAGAAATTCTGCTGAATAAACTCTCATCAGAAAATGAAGTGCAGAACCATCTTTCACTACAATGAGGATGAGTTCACCAAACTCCACTAAGTCATCATTCCTAGTGACAAGAAATTGGCCCTTCTTGTAAGTTATTCCGTTATATTGCACATCTACAGGAATCTTTGCATTTATTTCAGTGAAGCAAAATTGTAAGACTGCATCTTGAACTTGTTCACTGTAAAGCTCGGAATAAAATGGCGAGCAGTCTTTTATTTGCAAGGCTGGAGAACTTACTGACCTAGCTGAAAGATAGGCCTGAAACATCTGATGTCTTTCTAAAAGAGTGAGACACAGATTTGTAAAGTTCTTCAAATGCCTTGCACACCTTTTAAAGTAACTATGTTTGCTCTCAAAGCGCATAGTCCATAATCGCATCAGTGGGCCAAATTTTAGAATCAATCCTGGATAGTGCCGTAAATAATGATGTTTTGGTCTCAAATTTGTATCTGGAAACAGTGCCTTCCTGGATTCTAAATATTCCTGAATGAGAGCATCCAGGTAAGTGACCTGAGGCCTGGACATTTTCTGAGCACAAATCAAGTCAACTATGTCTTTCAGTTGTAGAGTTAATTGCCAAACATCATCCTGTGGCTCTTGCACTCTGTCTCCAATTATTAGAGGCAACAGTCTTAAAAAATTCCAGTTCTGTACAGCATGACCAGAAAGTCTTAGTGTTTTAGGACTGACCTCACTGCTTAATGCGCCTGTTCAAAATAGAGTATGTGAACCATCTCTTTTTCTTAACAAAATATCTCAGATAAAGTCCAACATCATAAGAGAGGACACCCTCAAAGATGTCATGGCCAAGACATGGGGGCAAACCAGGCAGACAAACATCAAAGTGGTTCAAAGAGTTAAACACTGACCGGAACTTTATTCCTTGAACATCTGTCACATCCTCAATCTCCAAACGATCAACTGCAGCCCTGTAATTCTCAGTGGTGCGCTCTGGTCCACATGAATTTGGGTCATCACCGCGAAATTCAGTTCGAGAAATTAGACAGTATCTGCAGAAATATTGTGAGAAACTGAAATTTTCAGTAAATCCACCAATGCAATGCGAGCCCAGGTTGTCTCCAGCAATGCAGTAAAGAGTCCCTTTAACGACAGTTTCATCTGCCATTGTTATCCCATTCTCCTCCAGTATTTTCAAGTCAGCCAGCAACTCTTTAAAAACCTTGGCATGGCCAAATTCTTTAAAGTCCTTCTCTCTACACAGCAAAACCAGCTGCATGTGATCAACACTTGATCGAACATGAGGGGGGAAATTTAGTAGTGAGAAGTACACAGCCAATATTTTGTGCTTTTTTTTTGCAGAACCCAAAGGGTTCACCACCTCAAATGCATCCTGGTATAAGACCAGCTTAAGACAAGTTGGGTTTTCCTGAAAAAAGGTGTTGGATTTAAACACCTTACCATCACAGCTGTCACAGAGAACATCTGGTATGGAGACATCATTAGAATCTCCCGACATGAGTCCCTGCCAAAAATCTGACCCTAGCATATTCTTCAAAGTGTTTAACACAGGAACATAATATGCACATCTTTCTATTCTGTTCTCATCTCTGCCTAAAAACACCCTTTTGGGCTCAACATATTGAAACACTTCTCTAAAGCACTTGGCTCTAGAGTAGGCTGTTCTCATAGGCCCTGTGTGGCAAGCTGAGAACAAGTCAGATTCCTTCACTGTATCACAGATTTTTACAATGTCCACATCCGATACTGGCAAATCTTTCAGAAGCAAGTTTAATCTATTCAGAGTATATGTCTGTCCCAACTCATGTATATTCTGAATCTCTTCAACAATGTTCTGAATAGTAGATGCTGGAATAAGATGTTGTCCCTGCAATTTTATGTAAAACATACACACATTTCTGTGGTACAAGTCACTGAAATTACACATGTCCCCAACAGTGTCTCCATCATCTGACATACTGGCAGTTTCCTGTATGGCAGTGGCACTCTGCTCACTTGTAGAAGGACATGCATTTTCGAATGAGCCGCAAATCATATTTACAGAACAATGTCTGTGTTTTCTGGACAAATGGGAAGTAAATGAAGATTTTACAGTAAACACACTTTTACATCCTCTCACAGGACACTTCACAAGACACCCCTCTGCTATGTGCTCCTTCAGGTGTGCAACCAGCTCTTTGACTCCGTCACACTGGCGTTCACAAAGTGAAACTGCACATTTGAACGGCGTCAAAGCCATATCCTGAGCAACCGACGATGTGCCATTATGGTGGCGATAGAAGTGAGACTTTAATGATGCATATCCAGAAAACACCTGCTTACAATCAATTCCAACACACTTGAAAATACAACGAGGTTCATTGCGGTGGAATTTGCAATGTACAACATACGCCTTAAGAGACTGAACAGATTCTCCACAAATGCAACAGGAATACATGGTCAAACAGGCATATATCCACCATAATAAAGTTGCCATCTTAGCCTGAAATATGTCCAGGCATGCCTAGGATCGTGCACCACGTTTTTGTTTACAAGAGCCACAAAACACAGAAAATCTCGTTACCAAAATGCTATCAATTTACCATGTCTCAGAAAGAGGTCTGAACATTATTAGCCTAGTACTGCACTTAGCCTAGCCTAGCTGCGACACGGGAGCGGCACATCACGTTAATGTTTAAATTCAAGCGCCCTTTCTTTCCACAACCTACACTCAAATGTGACGGGCAAAAACTGACTTCACCTTACCGTGTTAACTGAAGACAAGCTGCAACGTTCAGACAAGTCCAGAATAATCAGACAAAGCTCCTGCTGGAGAGTAGTTCAACTCACTGCGACACACCAGAGAGGCAACCGTTAATGTTTGAATTCAAGCGCTGCGCGGCGCCCTGTCCACCCCACCACCTCAAATGTCACGGGCAATGGCATTTTAGCCTGATATGTGTCCAGGCATGCCTGGGAAGGTGCACCACTTTTTTCAAAGCACTTTTGCAAGAGTCACTACACTCGGACAATCTTGTTACAAAGAAAAAAATGCTAACCATTTACCCCTTCTCCCAAAGACCTCTGAACAGTATTAGCCTAGCTAAACATTAACTATACTTTGGTGTGCGACCAAAGCTGCGTAAACTCATTCATAATCGAAATAATCATACGAAAATTAATTTGTTTTTACCTTGCTAAAATTGATTTCACCGTGGTAACTGAAGACAGGCTGAGACGTTAAGACAAAGTCCAGAAAATTCAGATGGAGTACCCTGAGTGGACTGGAGTGGTTACAAAAAAAAACTCCTGGGACATGTTATCCAAAATGCAATGCGCTGATTGGACGGCGCATCACAGAGTTCAGACGTTATGGTTTGAAATCAGGCGCCCTTTCTGTTCAAAACCTATATACAGTCTATGAGGCCTACTCAAATTTGAAATGCATTTAAAATCATTGTGCTATTTTCTTAAGAAGTTGGTCAACCTGATCTAACTGCACTGTAAACAATTACCAGCATTTCACAACATTTAACAGTATTATTGTACAGTGACATATTGTAATCAAGACCCCCTGTATTATCCCAACAAATACATGTAAAAATGACTGTATCCTTGAATTTCACAGCATTTAACTATTATTTCACAATAAAATACTGCAATCAAAATCCTCTAATATCACATCAAATGTTGTAATATCACAACAACATTGTAAAAATTGCAAGGATTTCACAGCATTTAAGATTCCTATCACATTACAGAGAAATATTGTAATCAAAATATCTATAAAACATTCAAATTGGATTTCACATTATTTAACTATTATTTCACAGTAAAGCACTGTACTCAAAATCATCTAGCACAACCATAGACTGTAGGCCTATATATAAAGAGCACAACGCATTACTGTAACATTTGAATTGTGCACCATTGCACATGTGCAGAATAGACTATTCTAACCGGCGTGTGTCCTGGCAACCCTGTCTCCTAAAAATTATGTTCCCACAGAACTAAACTGCATTCTCAATTACGTTTAGCTAGAAATGTATTTTTGAGACGATTCCAGGGATGCCTGACTTGAGTTTCTAGCACCAGGGAAAGTGGAAAAAGTGCCCCAAATCGGCGTCTTAATTTACCCAGGGCCTAGTGCTTGGCTTCGGCATGAAAATTCAGG